TTGTGGAAACAAGGACAGAACAACAGAACAAGAAATAAAGAAAAGAAAAAAATGACACTGTCAGTAAGAATGGCAATAGTTTTACAATAACACTCATTTTACTCATACAGAATAATCAATACTTAGTTGGTTTATTGGTTAGTTAGTTAGCTAGTTAGTTAGTTAGTCATTGGCTAACTACAACCCAATTTCCAAAAAAGTTGGACCAATTCCACTGTGCAGCATGTAAATAAAAACAGGATGCTATGATATGCAAATCATGTGAACCATATTTTTAAAGGAAAATACTACAAAAACAACATATGAAATGTTGAACATGTTTAGTGTTTTTTTGAAAAATATATGCCCATTTTGAATTTGAAGTTTCAACATTTGATTTGTTGTACTATTTTCAATTAAACACAGGGTTTAAATGATTTGCACATCACTGCATTTTGTTTTTATTTACATTTTGCACAGTGTCCCAACTTAGTTAGCCACATAGTTACCTGAAAAATGCCTAGTTTTTAGTTTAGGACCTCACTCAGTTGTCCATGTTTATAGCAGAAACTGCAGATGACTAAACGTGAGTGAGTTGCTTTGGTGTAGGAGATATAATCCATTTTCAAACAAGAAAATATAAGAATTAATTATTTTAGATATCGCTCAAGCGTAGTCTACTGTACACAAAGCCTTTCAGTGTTTTGCTTTAAAGGATGCACGGCCTTCCTTTCATTGCTGATGGTGATGTTCTCAGGGAATTCTGTAGTAATTAATATAATCAGTCTTAACATGTGGTGCTTCTGGGCATCTAAGCTGTTACAAATGTATCAAGCCATTAGAGTGTACATTAGAATGCAGGAAGGATTATGCTTCTCCCCTGAAATAAGAGAAAAGATTTAGTTATCCAGTGTCTAAAACACATAGCAACAGGCTGGGTAATATAGCTATAATTCAAAAAATAAACAGTAATATCTTCCTTTTATACGTTCTTTTATAAGACTAGATTGCACAGTATATAGTTGTCCTTGAGAGATAGTTATTTACTTACATGCCTTAATTAATTAGTGTGATGCCTTTTCACAGTTATTAAATTTGTTTTATTACTTTATTTCAGTATTATAATGTTGTCAATATGACAGCTGATATGATTGCCAGGTTTCTCAGCCCTACGATAGACTGTACACAGCTGTATGCAGAGAATACAAAAAGCATACAAGCTTTTTCATGCATGCTGGGCGATACCTCAGCTTTATAGCCAATGCATTGTATGATGTGTGAAGCTCGGGGTGTATTCTTGAGAGAATAGAAGGTACATAAAGAGGCACAGAGAGAGTAGGCAGTAGGCTCTGTGAAGTCTGCCTGATGGAGCAGTGGAGTGCAATGAACTTTAGATAAGCCTGTTGGCTGGCCTGCATTACTTAATATACACAAGAGGATCCATCTCTGAGGACGCTTGCACACTTGCACACATCCAGAGAAAACTCCCCAGTGCTGAATTATATCTTACAATGTTCATTTTTGACTCAGCTGGACTTGATGAACACCGAAGATGTTCATTCAAAACCGTTGTTAATCCAACACTGGGGATTTGTAGTGTACATGTATGAAACACAGACGTACCCACGCATGCATGTTTGCATGCAGCACACCATGCACGCCCACACAGCCCTCTCCAGTCAGAAGATAGACAGTTTGTTTGTGATATTGTGCAATATTTTAAAATATTTATGATATGCAAGATAATAGCCAATCATGTTGTGACACTGTGGAATGTACTACATCAGTAGCCACGTTTACATGCAGCCTTATAAATCAGTTCATAATCCGAAATCTAATAGCTCAGTCAGAATAGCATACGTCCATCTTCGGAATACAGTTTCTATCCGACTGAACGAGGTGGGTAATCCTGCAAATAATCCATTAAATAGAAGAATAATATCCGTGTAAACGCCTGTATCTGATTACATTCCCTATCGGAAAGTTTAAGTCCATTCTGATCATGTTCGTCACGTCATAGTGAAAGTTTATACCGTTCAACATGGCGGAGCAGAAACTGGTCTGCAGAGGAGACGAAGTTTATGCTCTGATCTTTAAAGACGGCGGTGTGACGGACGTCCAGCTTATGTGTCTCAGAACAAGATGTCTTCCTCTAGGCCTTCTTTAATGAAGGACGTTTTCCTGAGTCTGACATTATTTTAAAGCGATTAAAAACACAAGAGCTGCTCACTGCTGCTCGTCTCACTCTGACTGGACTCACGTGATGCTGGTTGTCATGGTAACGTCTACACTAAGCAGTTCTCTACGCATGCGTGTAATTTTGGATGGGTTTTCTTGTTGTGTGCATGTCAAGGAGGTTTTCATCAGAGTGTTGAGTAGAGTGAGAATAAAAACACCTCAGTCTTAATCTATAATCGGAATGTATTCAATCAGACTGGCAAAAATCTTTGCATGTAAACACAGACGTTTATCACCAATCCTCAGTGGTTCTGGAGTGCTACCTTTCTGCAGAGGCTGGTTCCAACCATAATCTGCCACACCTCCTCCACCTAATTAATTTCTTCGGAAGTTCTCGATTGACTAGATCAGATGCGTGAGTTAGGTTAGGGGGAAGCAGCATGTTAGAACTAAACTCCATTGAAAAGTAGACCAGGAGGAGGGTTGGTGACCCCGGCACTACATTGATGTTTTCTTAAACAGCATATGTTTCCTTTTAAGTTGATGAAATCAACCTGGAGTCAAATTTGACCTCTTTTGCCTTGTTAATTAATGTCCTGTAATCCTCCAAAGTGTAATGACTTTTGCTTGCCGGTAAAACATCTACTGATTTTTGACTATGTAACTGTGCACAAGCAGGCAGGGAAAAATAGTGTTAACCACCGGCAGGGAAGGACCTTCTAGACCTTCAGAGAAGGCCTAATGATTTCTGGGAAAATACATAAAACTGTACAATAAAAAATACAATACTGTAATTATAGTTTATTTTTATTCAATAAAATCATTGATGTCTAGTTATATATAGCCAAGTGAGCTCTCTCATTGGTTAGGCCTTTAGGAGATAGAAGGCCTTAATTACTAACATTAGGAGTCAGCCAATCACATTTTGATTTCCAGTGGGTGAGACAGAAAAAAGAAACTGCTGTCAAGCCAAATGATCAACTAGCACATAGACCCTTCCTGATACTACATGTATCTCTGAAATATGTTAAGATACAGAAGGAATGTGTGTTATGATTTCTGATTACTCATTGATTTGAATGACAAGCAGAGCTGCAAACTTTATTAATAAATACATTGATGCTCACAAATGCATTCTTTCAAAGCTGCTGTGGTGATGTTGGACAAACGTTGGCAAAAATCCTATTCAAATCCCAGAATGCGTATGTGGGTCAATTGCAATTAAGGAAGGTTTTTGTATTCTTGGATGTCCTAATGCTGCTGTGTAATAATAATAATAATAATAATAATAATAATAATAACAACAACAACAACAACAACAACAACAACAACACACTGCATGTTGGGGGCTAAAACTACAAGCAAAGTGAACCCAAACATCTCAGCTTCCTGTGCCATTGATTTTTCGGCCTTGTTTATAACTTCAGAATTAACCAAGGCTCTCTTCACTTCCACTGCCCTTTGTAAAGCTCAGATAGCACAGCTTACAGGACATAAGCTCAAGCAGACCCATGTCCTAAGATTACCTCCGGTCAGAAAACAGACGCGGCGCTACATTTCCACCAGGCAGAGTTGCATATTCCTCACATTGATACGGCTTTGATAGGTGGGCTATGGTTATAAATATGAATGAGGTCTGGTGTCCAGTGTTATCCAGTAAGTGTGTATGTGTGTGTGTATGTCTGTGCACATGTGAGTGTGTGTGTATCTGTGCGCGTGTTCACTGAGGTGCGGCGGAGGCAGGTGGCATTATTAATGAATGGAGGGAGACAAAGACAGTGTGCGAGAGAGAGAGAGAGAGAGAGAGATTTGGACACATGCACATGCTCCGAGTGCTGACCCTCTCCTCAGGCTCTCGCTGGACTCCATTAATTGTGTCCTTACACATAAATTAATATTTGTTGTGGATTTTCTGCCAAAGAATTAATGAATAATGTGCGTCTGTGTTGCTGTGTGTGTGTGAGCTGCACTGAGGCCGTTCCAGGGTTGTGTGTGTGCGTGATTTAAGCATCGAGCTGGTGTAACATGCCTACAGCACCGAGCTCATATCTGTTCTACTTTGATCGTGTAGAATAATGCCTCTCTCTCTCTCTCTCTCTCTCTCTCTCTCTCTCTCTCTCTCTCTCTCTCTCCCTCTCTGCCTTTCTGGTTGATGAGGAAAAGGAAGTAGTGTGCTGTGCAAACTTATTTATTTGTTGCTGCTTCTCAAGGTGTCAACTCTCGTTTCAGTTCCGCTTCACAGAGCCTCTCTTGGTGCCTCTGGACTAACAGTAACCGTACCCACTGCACTGACTTACTTCCAGCAGAGATGTGTTCAAAGTAACTAATATCTCTCTCTCTCTCTCTCTCTCTCTCTTTCTTTCCTCTCCCTCATTGTTTTTCTCCCTCTCTCTTTTTCTTTCTCCTTCCCTCGGTCATGCTCTCCTTTTTCTTTCACATTTCTCTCTCCCCCTTCCTCATGCTCTGTGTTTTCCTTTTCTGTTTCTTTCTTTCTTTCTTTCTTTCTTTCTTTCTTTTTCTTTTCTTTCTTTCTTTCTTTCTTTCTTTCTTTCTTTCTATCTTTCTTTTTCTTTCTTTTTTCCCTCTCTCATTTTATCCACCCTCTCTCCCTCCCTCTTTGTTTCCTCTCTGTCTCTCACACTTTCTTTTTCTTTCTCTCTCTCACTCCCACCTTTTTTTTTCTTTCTTTCACCCTCTCCCTCCTTCTACTCCCCCCTCCTTCTTTCTCCCTCCCTCTTTCTTTCAACCCTCTTCCCTGCTCTCCCTCTCTCTCTCCCTCCCTCTCTCTCTCTCTCTCTCTCTCTCTTTCTCTCTCTCTTTCTATTGTCATTTTTCTCTCCTAGGCAGCGCTTTAATGAAGAAACAGACCTGCTAACAATCTTTCGGAAGGGGACCCTTCAGAACAAGTATGGGGTCACCATGGAAACCACTTCTCCTGCTGTCAATTATCAGTGGCCTGGCAGGTAGGGGAGCAGCGGTGCGATGGATGAACTCCCTTTCTCTGCCCCCCCACCCCTCCACCTCCCCCCCTCTGTCTCCCTCCTCCTGCTCTGATACAGTTTTTTTCCTGTGTTATTTTTGTCTAGTTAACGCTGGATGGAGTGTGTGCTGTAACCCACTATTGTCTGTAGCTTATAGACTAAGTACAACATGTGTGGGTTGTGCTGCATTTAAACACCTAGCATGGCACAGTAAAGAGGCCACTGGATAGAATTAGGCAGTTGTCAGCTGATCAGGGACCTAAAGAAGGTTTATGAGGATTAGGTGCACAACGTTGAAAAGGGCATTTTTGTATATCGCTGCTGTTAGAACAAAACCTTGTATCTCCATTTTTGTTGTTTTTCAGTTTTTGACATAATTCAAAATTGCCTGTTGTCCTTTGCATTGTGTCAAAATTTCATGATGAATAGACCAACAGAAACAGCCCAAAATGACTTGGGGAAAAAACTCTGATTTCATTGACTTACATTAAAAGTAATAGTAGGTTTTTTCCTTCTCCTTTTTTGCTTATTGTTCAATAGAGACTTATTTAGCGACTACTATGCATTGTTGAGTTGATACTATGAAAGTGATGCATTTGTTATGCAGATATGGTAATGAGGAATTTAAATGTGGGCTCACATTTTGACCTTTAGGGTCTAAGAACCTGCCAGACAAATGGGAGCTGAAGGTTAGTTATCTGACTTGCATTTCGCTGCTGTCGAAACTTTACAGGAGAAGGAAAAAACTTACTTTACTTTTAATGTAAGTCAATGGAACCAGACATTTTTCCAAGTAATTTTAGATCATTTCCTTTAGTCATTCATCATGAAATTTAAACTGAAAAACGTCAAAAATGGTGATACAAGGTTTTCTTCCGACAGCAGCGTTACGAAGGAAATTAATGTACTAACTATCATTACAAAATCTAGCAACTACTATTAGCAAAAGTATCTACCAGTGCCAATAGCAAGTTTTCTTATTTAATTGTATCTACCAGCTACCACTACTGAGTTTAGATACCAAATATCGTAAAATAACAGTCATTTCAGTCTTTGTTCTCAAGTCCTGTTTAACAGAGCTGCATAGACTACAGCAGCTTAAGATGGTTGGGTTGAATAATGTGCTATGTAACAAACAGGCTACTAGTAAAGGGCACCTTTTTTATATTTAAATAAATATGTGTTCTGTATCTGGCATTAGATTTGAAGAGCTTCTTCATTATTGTATCACTGCTTTCTGCTGGATGAGGTGCATTCAACACCAGTATGGAAGTAAGACATGAGTTTGTAGAGAGAACATGATTGAGATTGGTTTACTCTCTTTTTTGTTGAGTTTTGTTGTTTTTTCCTGATTTATCCAACAAGTAAAAAAACACGGAAACGAAAGTATGAATGTAAAACTAATTACATAGAAAGTTATACTGCGTAAAGTATTCACTGAAAGTAATCTGAGGACAATAGTTTTATTAGAACCCCTGCAAGTCTGCGGATTTATCTGTAATTTAAATGAAATTTAGTTAAAAGGCACAGCTTGACTGTAGATTAATGAAAGCAGTAAAAGGTTCGTTAATGTATAATAACTGTATGCTCAAAGGAACGTCTCTTTCATCTTCCTGAACTGTGTCTCTGCTGGGAAAAGTGGCTGCTGCCTGGACGCACAGCTTCTATCGCTCACACCCACCCAGCATCTGACCACACACATACATTACCAGACTGCACAGGCATGAATGTGAAACCCGAACGCAAACCATACCTATGAGTTTGACACCCGATCAGGCCCGGCAGCTGCTGCTGAACGTGAAACCCGGAGCTGACCCAGACTAACTGAGATGGATTATTGCAGACAGTTTTGAAAAGCTTGGAGGTGTTTAATCATCTGTAATACAGTAGCTGTAGTTTATCAGTATATTTTTGTGGAATTGCCAATTTTACCAGACAGAGGACAGGATCTACTCTCCTCTCTGCTATGCTAAAGTTTCTCTTACTGCTGCTGTTACTGCAGGAAAGCTTAAAACATCTTTGCACAAGCTTAACAAGCAAAGAGAGAAACCCACTATGACCTTTAAACCAAGATAACACATCTCATCATCCATGGTGTGATTAAGATGGACGTTCATGGACATGTTCATCAGCTCCTTGAATTTCAGAGCTGTTCCAAGTGCAGCTAAGACTAATGAGTGAGAGAGAGTTTGATGTTGTATGTGAAAAAAAAATGGGGCCCAAACCCAGGATGTGCACAATTACTCGAATACTCAGTTAACTGTTTAATGTGCCAGCATTCAAATACTGAAATTACTGTTTGGGTATTCATTGTGTTTAATCACAGGAAGGCAGAGAAAAATATAAAGTGGTAGCTGGTTTGCTTGTAAGCAAGACCAAGGAGCTATGTTTCGGAGGGAGGGTGGCAGCAGGCAGCGTAGGGTCTGCCTTCAAACCAATCACCATGAAAGGGCAGGATGTGGAACGAGTCAATCCCTTTAAATACCTGGAAACAATTATTGACAATAGACACACTTTTCAGAACAATGTAGATTATGTGTACAAAAAAGCAAAGCAGAGACTTTCTCTCTTCCCAGGAAGCTGCAAACACACTCTGATCATGGTCTACAGGTCACTCATAGAGCGTGTTCTCAGTTTCAGCATTGTGTCCTGGTATGGGAACCTCTCAATTAAGCAAAGAAACAAACTGGCCCAGGTGGTCAACCAGGCCAGTAAGATCATTGGAGATAAACAACTGTCACTCCAGAACTTATACATCCGATCCAAAACCAGAAAGGCAACCCAGGTCTACGTTCATCGTTCCAGCTGCTGCCATCTGGAAGGACATTTAAAGGTTAGCCAGAAAAAATGGGTATAAAAATCATTTGTACCCACTGATGTGAACATCCTGAATAAGGGCATAATAACCCCCCCCCCACATAGTTCATGTGCATTGTTGCTGTAAGTGTTTAAGTGTTTTAAGTATGTGTCTATGTATTTATGTGCCAGATTGCCAAAGGCAAATTTCCATTTCGTGCAAATTTAATGGACAATAAAGTTTTCTTATCTTATCTTATCTTATCTTACCTTATCTTAAGACTGACAGTGCAGTGGAACGCCACTTTTGTGTTTTAAGAAGACTGTAAAATGTGGCGAGTTTGCTCATATTTACGAGTAAGTATTTATATAAGGTTAAACTTTGCTGTTCGAGTGCGTCACCAAGGATGTGGTGTTAAGGACGTGACTGTGAAGGCAGAGATGGTGCAGCTTTGAGGCTAATGAGGCTAACTTCTCTTAGCTAACTCCTCTTAACTACTCTTAGCTCGGTCCAGAGACAATAAAAATATACTGCTCTGACAAATTAGCTTGTTGGTACATCGTCCACTGAGATGACCTTGGTAGATGAGTCTTCATTAGCATCTAAGGTTGCACCCATTAGCTCTACTAACTTAGCTTATTAGCTCCTCTGAGGTAGCCTCACCCAACATGAAAACCTACTGATTTTTTTGTCTCTATTTTTAATAGTAAAACATTCAAATAAAATTATTCTTCTGTGTGTTTCTGTATTTTTGTGTAACACCAGTGCTGCCACCCAAAAAGGTAAACCTACAGCCCTACAGAAGTTATAGCTAAATAAATTCCTTCGCTATCCAAGTATTTGTTCATAAACTCTTCCAGATACCCGAATTTCAAATTTATTCAGACTGAACATCTCTACCCAAAACCTGATATTTTGTTCGGCCATATTAGGTTTGCATGAAATAATAATGTTAATACAACTTTTACTTAGCAACATTTCAGATAGAACATTAATGACAGCCTGTACAGATATCGAAAAATGCCTGTAATCTTAAAACATACATATATAAAAATCTTTCCTTTTTCATTTTCAATAATAGTTTCATACACTTTGTTGAACTTCGAATTAGTATATTTAGTCTTACAAACACTGCAGATTTTTGTCTCTTGTGCATGTCATTGAATAGTGTGCACTCATTTCATGGGATGAGTCTTCTAAAGGTTTACATGACTGAGTTTTCATCAACAGTTCCTCCGTTTTGTTGAATTTAATCAGTGCTGGAAAATAACGTATTACATTTACTCTCATTACAGTACTTGAGTACATTTTTCTCTGTAATGATTTTTTTTTAGTAGAATTAAATCATAGTACTTTTACATTTAAGTGAATTAATTTCTAATAAAGTACTTCTACTTTGCTACTTTAATTTTTAATAACCGGTACAGAGTAAAAATAAATGTGGAAAGCCTGGTAAATCAGTAGAAAGCCTGATAACATTTAAAAGATTCAGTTCTGAAAGACCTTCAAAACAGAGCAGCTCCCAGAAACACTTCAGCCCTGATGAGTTCAGAGATGTGAGGTTTAGTTAAGAAAGAAAGAGAAGAGCATTACCAGCACAGACAATGGACTCCCAAATGGTCATCTGATGAGCTAGAGAAAACAGCATTATTCAAATTTTGAAATTGGCTTTATCAGCTGCCAAATATGCCTCACAAAATCTGTCAAAATCTCCACCTTTGCAATTCATCTTCTGAGGAGCCAGGAGTTAGCTGACTGGCTAACTAGTCATTAGCTAAACAGGTATCATGTGTTCTTTTACTATTTTCTTCTTATTTTGATGTTTTAGAATAACATGGCATTTAATTATTAATTATTAATTATTTATTAATTATTAATTATTAATTAGTTTAATTATTAAACTTAAAAGCCATTGTGTTTTAATGCAAGTGACTGTTAGCTAGCTCCATTAGTTGACAATAGGTGTCAACCCCTATGGTTTACCCCAGGGCTCAGTAACCCAAATGTTAAGAAGAGCCATTTTGTCCTTTCAACAAAAATCAAACCACCTTGGGAGCCACAACATTTTGATTGAAGTAACATTTCACTATCTTGGCTGTAAATATGTCTCAGTATGTGCTACTATAGGCTAAAAAATAATATGAATAAAAACACAGACTTTGCTCTGCTTTGAGCTTTAGCTCAG